CAGTTCTCATATAAACAAACCTTGGTATCTAAAAGACGAAAATGATTGTTTCTACAAAAGGAGTTTTTTTTCAGTATTTTGGACCACTGAAACTTTCTCATGATTGCGGAAAATGGACTTTCGAAAAACTACATCACTGCAATCTTTGAACAAGATTTGTCGCTTTTTTCTATTAGCACTTCTATTTAACAAAATTGTGAAAATCTTCTAACTGTATACTTCTCGATCCATTTTCCTTCATAAAAATAATTATTTTTCTAAACATGTCAGTCTAATCCTTCTTGCTTCACGTTTTCGAGAGTGCAATTTTATGAACAATAACTTTCTTCCATATTTCAAACATTAACCAGTAAGTTGAATTACTTTTTTAGACTAGCTGATCATTTATCTAAATTTCCGATTTCCAAAAAGTAAGCCAAAAGTCTTTCAATTGCACAAAAACGCTGTGATTTTTCTCACAAAAATGAATGTGCTCTTTTTAATACTCTTACTCTTCCTGAGAAGAAATGTGGCATTGAGAAATCCATTCTCAAGATTTACGCTACTTCAATCTATAAACGATACTCTATATTGTTTTGCTGAAACAAAATCTTCTGTGATTCCACAAAAATAGTAAAGCTCACCCATTTTCTCTCTGAATCATCTCCAACAGCTCCCTTGATGGTGAAAATGACTTTTCGCTGCTACCCTGCTTCATTCCTCTCAACACAATCATCTCCTCTACGTTGGTCTTATTCTTCTTCAATTCTTCTAAGATCAAATGCCGTAGATCATCAGGATCCAATGCGGTTTTTAAACTGCTAGCTTTGTCTACAGATCCTTCTCTGGAGAGATTCTTAATAAGTTGTGGAGGCGGTGGTGGTGGCGGGGGAGGATGTGATGAAGACGGAGGAGTTGAGGATTGTTGATTTAGGGGTGAGGGAGATTTTTTGAAGGTTTCATGGTCCGTATGGTCAGCGTGGACCTCTGCTTGGGTTTCAACCACATTGTTAGGTTTGAAGAGGTTATTCTGATGCGGTTGTTCGGGCTCAGGTTCTTGGGATTCTGATGGTGTGGAATCTGTTTGTTTTGGCTCGATATGGTTCTGACTAAGCTCAGCTGAATTTGAACCTTCTGAATTTGAGAAAACCAGTGCAGAATTTGGACTTGGCGTTTGCGCATAGTTCTTTTTTGCCCTTTGAGCAGCCAACTTCCTCTCCAACTCCTCACCCTCATCTTCCGGACTTGGTAACCGCTTCGGCTCATTCTTATGGACGTGATGTTGGATTGGAATCACTGGGCATCGACTAGCTGGTGGGACTGGTAGCGGCTGCTGATCCTTGACTAATAGCTCTCCTATGGTTGTTTTTGGTGGCGGAGTCTTTGGGAGGCTGTGTGCCGGACTGTTTCTGCTCACTGGGCTACCAACTCGATGAGGTTCGAAGGATGTGTCCACCGATATTGCCTTGATTGGATGTGTAGATGTATTTGCATCAGACTGTGTTGCAGGTGTAGAGTTGACATCGTTGGAGTTGTTGGCAGGAACCTAAAAACACGAAAAAGGCATTCTTCGAATCCGGATACCTGGACTTATCTTCAAAGTAAAGCAAGAGTAAATAAAGCGCATCCTTACACATAACTTGTAAATTGAAACAATTTTTGATTTTTCAGGCTAGCTTTGTAAAATTTTCCTTGGCGTGGAGTATAAAATAGGGGATACGGTCCTTCTTGCACTACAGTATGCTGCAAAAGTGAACGAGCATGCTCGCGTACACAGTTCAGCCGCCTTTGCTCCGCCCTCTGAACCTGACCAATCGCAAGTAACATTGACCAATCAGGGGCGAGCCCCTATAGTGAGCGTTTCGAGGAGGCGGTTCCATTAAAAGTGTAGTTCTGCGTAAAGATTACAAAATGAAGTGAAGTTCCGCCTATGATGGCTTTGGATTCATGTGGATACGGTAGAATACTGTATTCGTGTACCCTTTGGGGCGAGGTCGCTACATTTCGACGAGTCGAATATGAACTATTTGTAAAATGTGATATATTTCTAAAATGATATATTGGATTCTCTTCAAATTACTGAGTATTTTTTTGGAGAAAGGTTATCATCAAAAGAATCAGTAACGTCAAGACAATCACTCTGTATAATTTTTGTTATATTTGCTAATGCGTGATTTGCAGAATTTAGGAATTTCTGATGATAATAGACATTCAGAAATTCAATTCCTGGTCACCCCTCAATTCGTTCTTTCGCTGAGGTTCCGTGGGCCGATGGCTAACAGAGAAAAAAGCGAATGCGATGGACAGCAGCTGCTCTCAGTGTTCACATCCATTTGACTCATACGCTCACCGCCGTAAAACCGATTAATGCCAAATGGATTTCTATTAGCTTTTCCAACATTGATTCCGAGAAATGACAGAGGAAAAA